CAATTAGAGCAGGTGTTCCAATTCCCAATTCGCTCGCATTGACGTCAATCCATCGCCTTCTCCATCACTCTTGGTGCCCTAATTTCAACTTCTATGAGGTTTTGGGACCACACTGTGCTTGAAATTAGGTAAAATTCGGCGAATTGATCTGTTTTGGAGGGTACCAGTGGGTGCAAGTTCAAGTTCTCGATGAAACTGATCGAATTTTCGACGTGGGTTCGCTAAATTGATCGACTTTCGACGTGGGTGTGCTAGGTTTTTAGCGAAAGTCTTGGTTTTAAGGAGCGGTGATGGACTACGAGCTCTCTGATAGCAGTGGTAAGCTAAGTTGAATTTGCTTATCTGTTTTTCAATTTTGGTTTTTAAGTACCTTTGTTCTTCCATTGTGTAATCTATTGGTTCTCAGAGTAATTTTGACTCAAATTCTTGAATTTATGTTAGGTGTGGTAGAATTTGGGTTTAATTACTGCTCTGGATGTACTTTTTTACTGTTGAATTCATCATTTTAGTGGCTTTGTCTTGAAATTTAACTTCTTTGGTCGACCATGGTAGAATTAGAAGAAAATTTAATTTTAATGTAGTGTACCCGGCTTGTGCTCCGAGGTAATAGGATTTTGTATTCGGCTTTGCTCTTTCTTTTACTTCTTATAAGTTGGTTTGGAAGCACCATGTAAGACCTTTAAGTTCTCCCACAACATGTACTTTGATGCCATTATTTGGAGATTGACTCCGATTCGGGTATTCCATTCTTCCCGTCTGTAAGTTGGTCTTGCTTATTGTTTTGAACCTTGTATATTTGCATTCTGAACACTGGGTGGACACCCAAAAGATGGTTACTCTTTTTTGTTGCTTGGAATTGTTTTTTCATCCTCTAGGGATTAAAGTCACTCATAATTCTCTGTGGAATTTGGTTAATGGTAGTTAGGTCCTACTATCCTGATTCTAGCCAAGGTCACTGTGTTGGGGAAAGAAGCTAATTGTTTGAGAAAAGAAACCTACTGGCATTAAGAGTTTTCATATTGGCCACATTTCGTGTGGTTGTTGTTGTTTTGGTTTTAGCGATTCAGTAAAGTTGATAATTAATGCTATGTTATGGCTTATATTAGTTTAACCAAGGATGCTTTAGTTTAGTGTAGAAATAATGAAGGATGCATTTTAAGCATATTACAATGTTTTTGTTTTAAATACCTGCAAGGCTGTTATTTAACGTTGATACTGCTCTGAGATGCTATAGCAACATTCTTAGTGGACCGTGCATGCTTCTAGAACCCATCTTCTGTATTATCAGAACATGTTGGTAAGATTTTCATTTTTAGTTCTTTTTATGCTAGTGTCAGGATACATTTTGAGGAAGGAACACATTCTTATGTGGCTTGCCTGGACTCTGGAATATAAGATCCTTATTTCTATATACATAAATAGCATGCCATTATATGTGGCATGCATATAGACATGTATATAATTGAAAAAGGTGGCTATTGGCAGGGACAAGGGCCTTAGAAATAAAAAGGATTTTATGCTTTGCTATTGCAAAGTTCTTAAAATACCTAAGGGGCTTGTTACTGAAGCTATAAATAATAGTGTGCTATGCTCTGAAACATTTGCAGGAACGGACGATGACTTTCCGCCGTCTCATCAAAACAGGTTTCAAAGAGGAGGCCGAACTTCTGGGAATGGAAGATCTGCTGCCGTCAGTTCTGCTCCATTACCTAGGATGCATGGTGACATGGAAACCCAGATTCACCGCATTGAGCAAGAAGCGTACTGTTCACTTCTAAGGGCATTTAGTGCTCAATCTGATGCCATCACCTGGGTAGCTGTTTGATTAATTATTTGTTGTTTCTTCTTTCGCTTGTCCTTTGGATCAAAGTATTATTTGTGTTAACTTAGGCCTGAAAGTCAGTTCTAATGTACTTTACAGGATAAGGAAACTTTAATGACAAATCTTAGAAAGGAGCTGAGAGTATCTGATGAGGAGCACAGAGAACTTTTGTCCAGGGTCCATGCCGATGACATGATCCAGAGAATAAGGTCTGATAATATTATTCCATGTTGGTTTGAGCACCAAATATGTATTACGTTTGGATAGCTCTGCATTTTTTATGAGACATGTTATATTATATACTATTAGGCAATGGAGAAAAAGTGGGCTTCAACCTGGTACACTTAATGCTGCTCAGCCTGTTCATGACCCCTTACCTAGTCCAACTGTTTCAGCATCACGTAAGAAACAGAAAACATCACAGTCCTTATCCCTCGGTGCTCCAACTCCTGCACTGCCTCCATCCATGCAACCATCCTCTTCAGCCTTGAGACGAGGTCCTCCTCCAGGACCTCGGAACAAGAAACCAAAATCTGTAAGTTGAAATAATTCTGGGTTGAGAAAATGGTCCTATGCTGTTTATATGTTCTTAGATTTGTTTTTACCTATTCTTTTTCAATGGAGTTTGTTGCCTGCTTTTGAAGTCCACACAATACCCTTCCGCAAATATTCCTTTAAGGCCCCAGGCCGCTAATCGAGGTCCCGCTGGTGCCTTTGTGGAGAGTGAGCCTGCTGAGGGAGAAACTAGTGATCCGTTAGTAGGAAGAAAGGTTTGGACAAGGTGGCCTGAAGACAACCACTTCTATGAGGCTGTTATAACTAATGTCAACCGTGCTGAGGTATGCTCTTGTTGTGATTTCTTCTGAACCTGATTAAGCATTAGTAATTAGCAGTTTGACCACACGATTCCAATATAAATCTTTGTGAAGTCTAACAATTGTCAAATGTTGGCAGGGTTTACATGCTCTGGTTTATGATATTGGTACAGTGGATGAGACATGGGAATGGGTCAATCTAAAAGAGGTATACTGCAACTGATTCTCGTTTCTTTCGTAGGCCTTTTATCCTTTTGTAGGATATAGTCTGTCTCATAAATAATTAAATTTCAAATCTCAAAATCAAAGTTTTTTTTTTTGGTTATGTTTTTGCACATTATGACAAATGAGTTTGTGCGGGTTTATAGCTCTGGTGGTGAAGAGAATTTACCTCTATACCTGAGGTCCCAGCTTGATTCCCCTGCCGTATCCCATCTATTGTTGACTGAAAACCGAAAAAACAAATGATTTCCACTGTCAGGAGAATCTGAAGTTGCTTTGCTTTTCTGTGCTGATTTTTGCAATTGATTTTATTGGAATAGGTTTTTGAGTTGCAAAAAAAACATTGAAGTACATCCAGCACTACTGGTGGCATTAAGATGATTGAAACTTAATGCCAAGTTTTTCAATTCATTAACCATTTTATTTATAATAAAGCTGTGAATGCAGATTGATTTAGCTACCTCATAATCAGTATGTAAATCTTCATATCAAAAGCTTGTGTTTTTTGATACCGAGCAGTGTTCTTATACATTTCACCATTGGTGCATTTGATAACCATATAGTTTTTAGTTTTTTATTTCTCACTTTTTGTGCTAAAGATATGGGGAAGAAGGATGAACCTGGGTGTTGGGAGACCGAATACATGCTTAGCATTGTACTGATAGTGTAATGGATTGTGGACCTTGTGGCCCATTGAATTGTGTTTGTGATTTGCCTTGTGAGCTCATTTCCCGATTGCTTTTTGCTAATCGTTGTTGAACCTTCTAATGGCATAGATATCTCCTGAAGATATTCGGTGGGAAGCTGATGATCCTGGGATTTCTCGTAAAGGTGGTCGACCTGGACCTGGACCTGGCCGAGGGAATAAAAAGTCCACGGCACGTGGTGGTGCAGTTTCAGGTGCAGGAAGAGGTAGAGGGACTGCAAAGGGTTCCAAGAAGGATTTGCCCCCGCAGCTAAATGGCATTGGCAGGAAGGCAATGAGCGATATTGAAATACTTCATACAGACTCGTTGATTAAAGAGGTATGTGTACAACTATTAAGTTTTTTCTTACCCGCTTTTCCTCCAATTAGCTGGTGGTAACTTGTTTTTCCCTCTTTGCTTGAAACTATAGGTGGAAAGGGTTTTCAGAGCCAGCCATCCTGACCCCATGGAGATTGAGAAAGCCAAGAAAGTTCTCAAAGTATGAATTCAAGCATCTTTTTGCTTTATTTGCTGATGCTCTTTTATTGCCGGGATTGTAATGGTTTATTTAAAATGCAGGAGCATGAACAGGCACTGGTCGATGCAATTACAAGACTCGAAGATGCATCTGACGTTGAAAGCGGTAATAACTAATTGCATTAACCCATGTTCTATAATACATAATAATAAAGCTCCACTGCCTTGTGTTGTATCTTTAGTCCTGATTAGCCAGATTTGACTGGTACTTACTGAGTACAACTCCAGTTAAATTTTATCTCTAATTTTTTTAATCAAGGTTAAAAATAATAACAAATCTTGTGTTTTACATTAGTGAGGTCGAATCACGAAATTATGTCGTCTTGCTACCGTGTTACATATATATTTTTCAGCAAATTATTGCACTGAATGTATCTCTGAAGCAGCATGGCTGTGCAACGTCTAGTTAATTTTTGCTTATGACCAATGTGCCATTTTTCTTCCTTCTTTGGCTTCAAAACAGATGAACATACATTCTCTCAAAGACAATCACTAGACCAAGAACGAGGATGGAGAAAGCGGCAGTATGACGAAATGGCTGAAGGTCGGGCAGTTGACGGCTCAAATGGCAATAAAATGACAAGAGAGGGCAGAATTGCATCAGATGACCAACGTTTTGAGGGCAACGACATATGACATTTGAGAAATGTAACATCCAGTTACATTCCTTCGTGTACTATTTGTGCCATATTCTGAATCGATGACAAGTCAAGCGGATGCTTTAGCCTAAGTTCTAGGTTTCGTTTCAGTTTTAGTTTAACCTTAAGTTGAGATAACGCTTGCTGTAACTTATGTTTTCGGGGTTGTACTGGTTGACACTTGACCGTGTAAAGATTGATTTAACGGTGCTCTCTCTCTCCCTCTCTCTCTCTCTCAAATTTACTGAGATAGCAGCTTAAATTATACACTGAAGGCACATAGGAAACCAACTAAGCTCCTGCAAATTACACACGGTAACAAGTTAGCGTATACACACTACGGCGTGGAAAGATCCGATCAGTTCTGAAAGGAACAACTCCATTACGGATGGTTGATCATCTACAATGAAGCAATAAATTCAAGGATAAGATTCACCATCTGTGCATCATAAGCAGGGCCTTCCATTTGGAAGTGGCTTGCTCCTTCAATCAGGTGCGTTTCAACACGACCGGCTGCAGAACTTAGCTTGTTCTGTAACTGCTTCACGCTCGTGAACCCATCCTGAGTCCCCATTACGAAGAGTTTGGGTTTTGAGGATTGTAGTACGGCTTTGTGGTGTCTCCCGAAAAGGATTGAGGCAAGCATGCCGAAAGGATACCCCAGACTAACATAGCCCACAACTTGTTCTATCTGATCTACTGCGGAGCCTGCAATTGGAGCACCTACACCATTACACCAGACGAAATTTTTTGATTATACATACAAGGAAATTATGTTACCCCTGACTCGTATGATCGTTAAACTAACAAAACTGACAGGACTACGAATAACATCTTATATTTACCGACCAAGCCTACAATGATGCTACGCAGTTCATACCAGAAAGATCCTAGATCATGCTTCATAGTTTATGGCAAGATTATTTGCAGAAAAACCATCAATTTAAAACTGTTTGACCTCAGGACTTTACTTATGTCCTCCTATTTATGTTCATATTGGAATTACTGGAGACCATAAACAATTCACCGATTACCAAAAATCGCAATTTGGAATCAGAACCAACAGAGAGTTATGTAAGTGAAGGAGCAGCAGTGCGAGGCTGTAGTAATAGACCTATCCAAAACGTTCATCAATTTACAGAGCAATTCGAAATTATAACGCTACTGTATTTTATCGAATCACAGCTCAACTACTTCTGTAATTAAGCAAATTGGATAATGAGTTTATCACAAAGTCACTAGACCACAATTAGTAGAAACTTAGGCTCTTATGATCATTTATCATTTCTTACAACACATACAGTTGCCGGCTGACCTAGAGAAACCTATCATAGTTGCACATAACATTCTTCACCACAGTTCCATTTGCTTTGAATGTGATCAAAATCCCAACTTTTGAATGATCGAAATACAGTTTGATCAGCAACACGAAACTCAGAAATACTCCAAAGAACATTACCAAATGAAATCCCAACTTCATGTTCATCACTTAATATGAGAAATCTAACATTACAAAACGAAATCCAAGCCTCAAACAATCAATTCTCCTTGAAATCCAAAGCCTACTTTAATTTTTCGCCGATGCTTCCAAAATTAATTAGTTGGTATCTAAATAAATTCTGATCACTTCTGCAAACTAATATTCAAATTACAGATCCACAAACCAATTCACCAAACAATAAAAGAGGCAATCTTTTAACCACCAAAAACTAAAACACAATCCACAGATCCACAAAATCATCAACCTAAACCAATTAAACAAGGAATCCATCAACTACTTACATGTAAACAACCCATTTAATTTATAACCAACATGCTTAATCCAATAAAAATTGTAGAAACATATTCTATAAGTGCAGAAAAACTTAAAAATATTTATACCTGCAGAAGAACCCACCAACAAAATCCTGTCAGCAGATAGATTCTCACAAACCCATTTGCACACAGAAATCACATCCTTAATTTCTGCAAACCCAGTGAGAGAAGCCCTCCCTGTTGACCTCCCAACCCCTCTCATGTCAAAGGTCAAAGCTTTATAACCTCTGTCTGCCAACCCAGCTGCTATTCCTCTCAACAGGCCTTGGCAGCCGCCAAGGACGGAGTATGGGTGCACCAGAACCACCGCAGGGCTGCCCTCCTTGATGTCTTCTTCTTCTCTGGGTTTGAAGAGCCGAGTGCTGAGCTTGACTACATCGCTGGTCTCAACTGTGCAGGACTCCACCGTACAGTTTGACATCCAGGATGGAGAGACAGAGAGAGAGAGAGAGCAAGAAAGAAAATGGAGAGAGGAGGAGGTGACTGCTATCAAGTTGGTTGGGCAATGTAGAATGGAAGTTGTTGGGCTAGCTAGTGAGAAAACTGGTAGCCCCTACACTAGACATGGGATTGGGATTGGGCTTAAACTAACCGAAAACTAACTTAACGATTATGTGTGTGTTTGGACCCGATTTTACATCATCGGTCCAAGTGATCAAGACCAAAGAAAGAGTATAGCTCCTAACTGTTGGATGAAAAAGTGAAGATAATTTTGTTATTATTAAGGGATAATGTTATGGTTTTTATCATAATAATTATCTTTTAATATGAATTATCTTCAAATTTTCTTATACAGAATAAATAGGACGCAAATTATATCTCCAACTTGGAAGCGAGCTTGCAGTTCAATTTGATTTGGGATTCTCGGCATTTAGACGTACGCTTGGAGTCGGATAACCATGCATGAAGGTTATCTTTTTGTTACTGGTAATATTTGATGATCACAAAAAGATAATGGTGCGGCATATACCAAGTTGGGATGATTATTAGCACATAAATTTATGCTAATAATTAGCATATTCTTCAGGGACAAGCACGGCATGGCTCAAACATTGCATGTACTTGGACGTGAAGAAGAGTGTAAACATTGCATGGTTGTTTCAGGATGGCTACTAGAAGAGTTTCAGTCGCGTAGAAATTGATCTAACACATGGCTATCATAAGTAGCAAACAACGATCAGGGTTAGCATCAAATCCAGTGGCCAACTTAAGGATGATTATCATGAATTTTCGAATGAGGGGATTATCTCCAAGAGAGTTCTATTTGTGGTAAGCAAAGAATACTTCACGGAAAGCACATGCATATCCAGTCCTATAAATACAAGACGATATACAATGAGAAAGGGACCTCTAACTCAACACACAACTGCCCTGCGCAAAATCTCTCAAACGCTTTGAGATTTTTTATTTTCTTTTTCAGCCGACACATCTTCAGTTTGGATAAACAACACTGTAAAGGCAACCAGCGAACATCTTCAGTTTGGATAAACAACACTGTTGCCGTAGAATCAGTTGACTAAGGAGCATCTTCAGTTTGGATAAACAGCACTGCGCCGAGGCTGACTGGTTACCTATCCAAGTCTCGATCAAGAAGGGTTTCCAAATCCTTATTGGTAGAGGTCATCTTCTTAGTCGTCTTGGCTAAGTGAGGTGTTACAAGTTACTACATTCGGCACATCGAAAGCCGAATTTGATATAGAACTTTGCAGAACTAGCAGCCTTGTCTTCAGGCTCGAGAATCCGAAGGCCGAGATGTGTTCCTTCCTTGGCCGCAGTTGCAAGATCAAGAAGTCAGCAACGCGTTTAACACAACACCAACAAATTTTACTCCTCGACCGATGAGCTGGCACGCCCCGTATACAATTGAAGGATGTAGTTAGCTCATTAGTTACTCGGCTTGCGTGCCACGTAGGTTTTTGTAATTTTTAAGGTCAACAGTGTGTTAGAGCATATTACTGTTTTTGGGTGGATCCATTTCTTTATTTGTCAGTAAGTAATTTCCTCCTTAAATATAAAAGAATATTTTTGCTCATCACATGATGATGATGCTTATCACTCTACCACCGTTGGATGAATTTAAACTTCAAAACTTGTGTAGTGGAGAAACACAAATCTCAAAATTCAAACTCATTCAATGATAATAATTAGGGTGGTGAACATTATCACCATTGGAGGGTGATAGAGCAAAAATGCACCCAAATCTAAAGAGTTATTTCTCGTTACAATTGTAGTTTGACATGTGTACATTTTTTTCTTTTGTAGTTTTAAGGAGTTACTTTTATATACTTGCTAGATGATGATTTACAGTAAAGGAAGGATGATTTTCTTACATGTAAGGAGCAAAGTAATGTCTTTAGTTGTCACTGTCGAGACATTTTTCTAACTATGGATATTCCCTATAAAGGACGTCACGTGATTAACATTCTTTCTTATAGGACAAACATTTCTAGAATATCTCCTCTTATGACCAATTTTAAACTTTAATCTCATTTATTGACATAGTTGATTATTTAAGGGATAGAATTGCCCTTTTAAGCTTTGGATTCTAGATTTTAGAACCCAAGCCTAGAATCTTAGGGCTTGTTTGATTTCTAGATTGACTTAGCTTAGATAATTAATTAGATTTATTGAATTTTAAATGAAAATAAGGATATCAACTTGCATATTTTGTCAAAGTGAAGATAAGAAGATAGAGAAGTCATGAAGAGAACTTGTCCCTCTCAATCCTACTATTTTTGTGGGGATTAGGAGGGAGAAGTATTCTTCTTTCTCATCTTCTACCTTTACTTAGACAAAATGTGCAAGTTGACATTCATATTTTCATCCATTATTCATTGAATTTAATGAGTTGTCCAAGTGAAGCCAAACATAAACATCAAAGGAGGCCTTAAGGTTTAAGATCTAGACGTATGCTTGGAGTCGGATAACCATGCATGAAGGTTACCTTTTTGTTAATGGTAATATTTGATGATCACAAAAAGATAATGGTGCGGCATATACCGAGTTGGGATGATTATTAGCACATAAATTTATGCTAATAATTAGCATATTCTTTAGGGACAAACATGGCATGGCTTAAACATTGCATGTACTTGGACGTGAATAAGGGTGTAAACATTGCATGGTTGTTTCAGGATGCTACGGGAAGAGTTTCAGTCGCGTATAAATTGATATGATGCATGGCTATCATGAGTAGCAGACAACGATCAGGGTTAGCATCAAATCCAGTGGCCAATTTAAGGATGATTATCATGAATTTTCGAATAAGGGGATTATCTCCAAGAGAGTTCTATTTGTGGTCAGTAAAGAATACTTCACAGAAAGCAAATGCATATCCAGTCCTATAAATACAAGACGATATACAATGAGAAAGGGACCTCCAACTCAACACACAACTGCCCTGCGCAAAACCTCTTAAACACTTTGAGATTTTTTATTTTCTTTTTCTGACGACACATCTTCAGTTTGGATAAACAGCAGTGTGAAGGCAATCGGCGAACATCTTCAGTTTGGATAAACAACATTGTTGCCGTAGAATCAGTTGACTAAGGAGCACCTTCAGTTTGGATGAACAGCACTGCGCCGAGGCTGACTGGTTACCTATCCAAGTCTCGGTCAAGAAGGGTTTCCAAATCCTTATTAGCAGAGGTCATCTTCTTAGTCGTCTTGGCTAATTGAGGTGTTACAAGTTACTACGTTCAGCATATTGAAAGCCGAATTTGATATTGAACTTTGCAGAACTAGCAGCCTTATCTTTATGCTCGAGAATTCGAAGGCTGAGATGTGTTCCTTCCTCGGCCGCAGTCGCATGATCAAGAAGTCAGCAATGCGTTCAACGCAACACCAACAAATTGTACTCCTCGGCCGAGCTCGGCCGACTAGTTGGCACGTCCCGCATACAATTGAAGGACGTAGTTAGCTCATTAGTTACTCGGCCTGCGCGCCACGTAGGTTTTTGTAATTTTTAGGGTCAATAGTGTGTTAGAGCATATTACTGTTTTTGGGTGGATCCATTTCTTTGTTTGTCAGTAAGTAATTTCCTCCTTAAATATAAAAGAATATTTTTGCTCATCACATGATGATGATGCTTATCACTCTACCACCGTTGGATGAATTTAAACTTCAAAACTTGTGTAGTGGATAAACACAAATCTCAAAATTCAAACCCATTCAATGATCATAATTAGGGTGGTGAACATTATCACCATTGGAGGGTGATAGAGCAAAAGTGCACCTAAATCTAAAAAGTTATTTCTCGTTACAATTGTAGTTTGACATGTGTACATTTTTTTCTTTTGTAGTTTTAAGGAGTTACTTTTATATACTTGCTAGATGATGATTTACAGTAAAGGAAGGATGATTTTCTTACATGTAAGGAGCAAAGTAATGTCTTTAGTTGTCACTGTTGAGACATTTTTCTAACTATGGATATTCCCTATAAAGGACGTCACGTGATTAACATTCTTTCTTATAGGACAAACATTTCTAGAATATCTCCTCTTATGACCAATTTTAAACTTTAATCTCATTTATTGACATAGTTGATTATTTAAGGGATAGAATTGCGCTTTAAGCTTTGGATTCTAGATTTTAGAACCCAAGCCTAGAATCTTAGGGCTCGTTTGATTTCTAGATTGACTTAGCTTAGATAATTCATTAGATTTATTGAATTTTAAATGAAAATAAGGTTATCAACTTGCATATTTTGTCAAAGTGGAGATAAGAAGATAGAGAAGTCATGAAGAGAACTTGCCCCTCTCAATCCTACTATTTTTGTGGGGATTAGGAGGGAGAAGTATTCTTCTTTCTCATCTTCTACCTTTACTTAGACAAAATGTGCAAGTTGACATTCATATTTTCATCCATTATTCATTGAATTTAATGAGTTGTCCAAGCGAAGCCAAACATAAACATCAAAGGAGGCCTTAAAGTTCAAGATCTAAATGGTGATTCTTATCTTAAGATGATCAACTGTGTTAATAAATAAGATCAAAGCTGAAAAAAAAGAGCAAACATGAAGTTTTCTCAACATATCACCGCCCAAAGAATAACTAGTGGTAATTATTTTGCTTCTTAATTTGGTCACTTGGATTGGCATGATGACAGTGTAGAAAGTTTAAATGCGTTTACACTGAAAAACATGGTCAATAAGACTGGTTTTACGTTCATGACTGGGCATTTTTCTTATGAAGTTGCATCAAACGGATCGTCTAAAGTATATGGTTTCTAATTCAGGTTTTTTGTATGGAAATTAGATTGTTTATGTGCAGTAGCAATATGATTTACGGGAAGAAGGATTCGAACTTGGAAGTAAGGGATGAGGCGGGCACACTATCCGGTTTGTCAAATTAAAATTGGTGTATCACCATAGGACCAAAAATAAATTTGGCCTAATGAATAACAGTAACGAATTAATAGCCTATGCCTAACTAACGGAGATAGTGTTGATTATGAATAATAATAAAGAATTAATAGCCTATGCTTAATTGAGGTTTGCAGATTTTGAGCTGTATGGAAAGTATTAGTCTTCACTGTAGGTTTCATGAATTGCATCCTCTCTACTACTGTGCTAAAGGATCACTTAAAAGGGCTAGTCAATTGTTGTCATCTGAGTTTGTTTGTTATTCTGCTTAGCCTTGTCTTGTAGTGAATGTTGTACTATACTTGCAATAGTTCATACTTCAACAAACTTTGATGGAAAAGTTTTTTTTTTCTTTTTTTGAAATTTACCCAATTTTTATTTACCCAATTTTTATTTCAATCATTTACTTGTGAGACAAGCTAGGCCTAGTAGATCGGTTGAGAAAGTGCATTTAACTTAGGCAAAAACACCTCTTTTTATTTATTTATTTTTATTTGGTTGTATAATGTGTATGTGAGTAGAATATAATAATATCCTTAGGTGAGCGCGACCTTTTGGGTGTTTGATTGCGGGTCTATGAAAATGAACCCCAAAGCTTGTTGGGTGGTTGATTGCGGGTCTATGAAAATGAACCCGAAAGCTTGATTCGACCCCAATCTTTGGTTGGTTAACCACAGCATATTTATTTCTAAATGAATCATCATAATATGTCCTTTAGTTCTTTTCACTTTTAGATAGAACGTGCTGGTTACGTTATTTTTACAATAATCACAAAAATGTAATTCTGTGTATGTTTGTCACATTCAATATGAAAGTTGTAAATACATTTCTACTAAAGTTTTTCTTCTATTGACACATTATTTGATGAATATAATTGATAGAGTCCGACTTTCTTCTAACCCTATTTAACTTTTGTCGGGTAATAGGAGCTTGGATTGGGACAACCCAGATGGCATAAAATGTGCAAAAGAAACCACACCAGTTTAGAACATGACAACCCCGTCGGAAGTGGCCCAAATTATTCGGGAAAAATGCAATTTTTTATTTTGTCATGTTAAGAAAAGTTTTATAAAGCATTTGAAAGTGGTTTTATAGTTTATTAAACCACAAATATACATTTAATAGGGTACTTATGCCGAAAATTGAAAAACAAATGAACAAATATGGTATTGGGGCCCAAAACATTGCCGGAATGGGACTTCTTCCACAAGAATATCAACAAGATTCTTACCTGAACTTTCAAAACCTCATGCATGGTATGGTGCAGGTGAAAAATTAAGATTTTATGAATATTTTTGTAATTTTGCAAAACAACCTAAAAATCATGATGGCTGGCTCACATTTTTCAGAAAAATATAATTTTTTTTTTTTATTTTCAGGAAATATTTCATGTGGTCATTAAGAGATGCTTTGTAAGGTATTTAAAGATGGTTTTACCATTTATTGAGCCACAAATATATATTTAATAGAATATTTTATCTGAAAATTGAAAAATAAATGGAAACAAATAGTAGTGGGTCCGAAAACATTAATGAAACTATACTCTATACTCAAGAATATCAACGAAAAGTTCTACATAAATTTTCAAAACATCACAGTGCATGAAGGTGAAAACATCTAGAGCTTATGATGATTTTTGAATAGTTTTTTAAAACCGCTTAAAAACCATGATGGTTAGACTATTTTTTTGAGAAAAGTGCAATTTTTTATTCTTGCTAAATATTTTCCATCATGTTTAAGGAAAACTTCATAAAAAATTTGAAAGCGGCTTTGCCATTTATTGAGTCACAAATATATATTTAATAGAATATTTTATTTGAAAACTAAAAAAATAAACAGACACAAATAATACTGAGGCCCAAAACATAGCAAGACAGGACTCCAGCTACAAGAATATCAACAAAACGTCTTACATGAACTTTCAAAACGTCATGGTGCAATGAAGGTGAAAACATATAGTATTTATGACCATTTTTTAACACTTTTGCAAAACCGCCTAAAACCATGATAGTTAGCTCACGTTTTTTTTTTTTTTTTCGAAAATGCAAATTTTTATTTTTGCGAACATTATCCATTATGATTAACAGTAACCTTTTAAGGCAATTGAAAGATATTTTACTATTTGTTGAGCCCCAAATGTATTTTTAATGGAATAATTAAGCCAAAAACTGAAAATAAATGGACAAAAATTTTGGGATTGGAATAAGCTAATCCAGGTTGTGGATGTAATTATTGCAAGGAAAATATGTGGTATTCGTTTCTCATTTCGCCCTCAGGCATTGAATTTTCAATGGTCTTCTCATCTGGACTTCTAGTTTGAATACTCATTAGCAACAAACGAATGGACTTCATTTCTTTGTACATATGCATATGTGATCTCGATATGGCTGGCAACTAACCTTCGTTATTTGTAACGTACCAAGTCTCAGAATGGTAGGTGGTCAGTTACAAACATACAAGAGTAGGGAGATATACAAATAACTTGTATGCGAGGAGGAAAAACTAAGCAAGAAAATGGGAACTGAAATTATTCCCACTCATATATTTCTTGTGTGTTTTCCAGGACAGGGACACATAAACCCTATGCTCAGATTAGGCAAACGCCTAGCTGCAAAGGGGTTTTTGGTCAGTTTCTCCACCACTGAAAACTTTGGCAAAGAGATGAGAGCAGCCAACAGTGGCATCAGCGACGAACCCACACCCGTCGGCGATGGTTTTATTAGGTTTGAGTTTTTTGACGACGGTCTTGCAGAACAGGACCATAAACGCACGGACTTCAACTACTATGTGCCACTGCTTGAACTTGTGGGCAAGGATTTGGTAACCCAGATGATCAAACGGCATGCCAATGAAGGTCGTCCAGTTTCATGCCTTGTGAACAACCCATTCATTCCATGGGTTTGTGACATTGGCACTGAGCTTGGAATCCCTTGTGCCACGCTTTGGGTTCAGTCGTGTGCTGTGTTCTCGGCTTATTACCATTATCACAGCAAGACAGTGCCATTTCCGACAGAAACCGAGCCAAACTTGGATGTTCAGCTGCCAAGTATGCCACTTTTGAAGCACGATGAGATACCTAGCTTCTTGCACCCTTCCGACCGATTTCAGGTGAGTGTACACTATACACGGAAATGATCTCTTATACTTATGTTCATGCAGATTGTCAGTCTATACCACAAATTTAGGCAAGAATCAACGTGATCAATGGTTCAAATTCCACGGTCTAGCATCATAACTACCTTGTGCATGGATAAACAGCCAAGGAAGCGATCATTTCCCACTTTATATACTACCAAAACAGTTTCTAAAGTTTTAGAACAGAACTACCATGTTTCATTTGTTCATTGTATTTAGTCTAGCTAATTTGAAACTTACGTTATTCTTTCTACTGTGTTGGGAAAAGGTACCCTGTATGAATTTCCACATAGACCTAAGGGGAAAAAACAGTTGTTACCTTATACTTAGCAAATAATTTTCAGGTTTTTGGGAGGGCTGTTTTAGGCCAGTTCAAGAAGTTATCAAAATCAATGTATGTGTTGATAGACACGTTCCAAGAGCTCGAGCCAGAGGTCATCGAGCACATGTCCCAGTTCTGCATAGTGAAGCCCGTTGGCCCCTTATTCAAGAACCCAAAACCTCCCAAAACAACCATAAGTGGAGACCTAATGAAAGCTGATGATTGTCTTGAGTGGCTCGATTCCAAGCCTCCAACATCTGTTGTATACATCTCTTTTGGTAGTCTTGTGTACTTACAGCAAGAACAAGTTGATGAGATTGCTCATGGATTATTGAGCTCTGGAGTCTCATTTTTATGGGTTATGAAGCCACCCAGCAAAGCGTTTCGACTTGAAGAACATGTTTTACCTGATAAGTTCTTAGAAAAAGTTGGAGATAAAGGAAAAGTGGTGAAATGGAGTCCACAAGAACAGGTTTTAGCTCACCCATCTGTCGCATGTTTTGTAACTCACTGTGGCTGGAACTCTTCAGTTGAAGCACTCACTTCAGGCGTGCCAGTTGTGACATTTCCTCAGTGGGGTGACCAAGTCACCAATGCAAAGTTCTTAGTGGATGTGTTTGGTGTAGGGCTTAGATTGAGCCGTGGGGTGGCTGAGAATAGATTGAGCACGAGAGACGAGGTGGGGAAGTGTTTGTTGGAGGCAACAGTTGGACAGAGGGCAATAGAATTGAAGCAAAACGCATTGAAATGGAAGCTGGCAGCGGAGGCGGCGGTGGCTGAGGGCTGCTCCTCCGATCAGAATCTTCAAGATTTTCTGGATGAGATTAGTAAGACCTGTGCTGCTTAAGAGTAATTTTCATTTTCCAAACCGCTTGTGTGAATTTTGTCTCTCTTAGTACTATAGTTCGGTATTGTTGTAGCTTTTTCAATAAATTAATTGTGTATGCTATGCTTTGAGAATAATTCATTGAAAACTAGATTTAGTAGTTTAGTGTTTGATAATTTGAAATATTAACAGCATTGTGAATCATGAAAAATAGTGTCATGGCATTTGGTATATTTAGGAGCCAAGTTAATTTCTTATCGTCAACTAGCCATAGAATCAGCTAATCATCAATCCATTAGTCAACTAACTTCAATCTAGTAATAATTACCTTAAAAAAAAAAAAGCCTCTGGTAATCAAACGAGAAAACTAACATAGTCAAGCCAAATTTTTTTCTTCCCGAAAGTTCACTTATAGGACAAACACTAGAAATTAGTACCCGCGCGTTACTGCGGGATTACAAATCGTATGAAAAATTATGCTTCAAATATACAAAAGATCGTGTCATATAAAATTAATATCATTTAAAAAAAAATTGGACTATTAACATTAGAAAGGAGTGGTATACCAACCTTTTACCATCTGCACCATAGGCCATTGTTGTGACCAGGAGCATCGTAATCCACCCGGTATCCCATATTGTCGTATAGCCATGCTTTTATTTTTCCATTTACTGATGTTGAAAAGAAAAACTGACAAACAAAGGCATAAGCTGAATTTCAAAACAGAGTAAATAATTCATAGATGGCAAATGAAGAGAGACAAATCAAGGGATTAAAAAAATGATAAGGCGAAGTCCTTACATGGATATTTTCCTTGTTATGAGGGCACACAGAATGCACGGGAGCATCATGACCTTCGAAAGTACCTATAAAACACAAATCAATGTATAAGTTTATCGTGTTTTCTACGACCTATTGTATCACCACTTCTTCAAAACCAACCTTAATGGCCTTATCATCACCGCAAGGTATGGCACAAAGTTGCACAGCCAGGTTGCAGAACGCCAAATCATTAACACTGTCAGAATGAGCATCGATCTAGAAATTGATAGAAGTATTAGAAAAGAGAACAGCAAAATGAAATATACTGAAAAGGTAGAAGATGCAGAACCTACCTCCAAATGCTGGTGAATCTCATTCCCGCCAAAATAAGAATATAATTGGATATGCAACTCCTGTTTGAAAGAACAATTGCCCTTGAAATTTTGTAGAAAAAGCTACCGTGGATCGTATTCAAGCTTACCAAATCGAGAACTTACCAAATAGAGTACCATCGGGCTCCATAATATACGCTTTACTGAGACACATGGATCCTTGATCAGAGTTGCCTGGTCATTAGAATCAAATCGGTTAAGATGATTCCAGTGACATTAAATGTAAATGTCGTCTGTATAATGACTCGGTTGATAAGGGAACATACCTTCAGCATCATTGAACTCGCTCCGATATCCCATACCTGAAAACTTCTCGACATCAATTTGTCCCTAGAACTAACTTCCCACAAACTTATGTCCCCTGCGTTAGTTCCTATTGGTACAAAAAAACCCTTATCAACTTGCTGCTTAAAACAAATACATATAATCTAAGAAGTAGTATTTCTTCTCTTTTGAAGGAAACCTAAGAGAAACCAACCCAGAAGTAGTGTATGCTGAACAGGATGGAAGTCCATGCTTGTGCTTGCGGCTCAAAGTTTTCAGACGCTCAACCACTGATTCGACCACATCACTGATCTCTTGTTGCAACTCAAATGTTCCAAACATTCGAAAAAATTACAAACACATTTTATTCTAACACCAACCAAGGAGTTGTCAGCTCAAACCAGGAAAAAACGAAAAGAGAAAAAACTTACCCAAAAAATAACAGGACCGCCGGAACTGTTGGTAAATCTGCGACTGACCAAGCGAGGATCAAAACCGCAAAATATCCTCTTAGCCAGGAAAACCCAAGCACAGGATCAGTTACAATTCCATCCAAAATTAACCAAAATACAGCAGTTAGAAAATATACCTCATTTGCAGAAAATTAACTTCCCGGTGATGCAAAAACAACCGGTGCTCAAACGGAAAACAAAATCAGAAATAGATCCGACCAAAATCGGTGCAAATCAAACATAAACGAACGCAAAAACCGCAAAATAATGTGGACTTAACGGATTGAAAAACAGCAACCCATATCGGAAAATGCCCAGTTATCACAAATATAACTTATGGAACTCAAAAACTCTAAGAACGAATGACCCAACCCCTCCACTACAGCCGGAAAAGTTTTGGACAATGTAGGAATCGAAGCAAAAACCAAATCCAAGGAAAAGCAAATGGCTTTTCGAATTCGATTTTTTTTTTTTTTTTTTTTTTTTGGAGTTTGGCAGTTGTGATTTGTAGTTTTTAAGAGAAAGAACTGGAAAAATTTCTACTGGGTTGGTTTTTTCAGCAGGAAAGTGAGAGAGAGGAATCGAGATAGTCCCCCACATAAAAATCCAAGACTTTGTACAGAAAGGTTGCAGCTTTACCTTTCTTCAAGAACTACAATTGAAATTGCAACATTTGCATTTGTTTGGTGGTGGGAGTCATTTCTCTGTGCAAGAGTTGCTGAAAATTTACCAAAATTTTAGTAAGATGAAGAACAAAAATAGTAATCACATAACTCAAATTTAAAGCATAGTTTTGTAGCTCCTAAATGTTTCTAAAGAATGCAAACACTCTTGCATATCTCAGGTGGCTGTAACTCATGAATCCAAATCTCATTGAATGAGGCTTAAATTTTCTGAACTAAAAATTTTAGGTTTTAATTAATGATTGGAGATGGTCTAATGAATAACAATAACGAATTAATAGCCTATGCCTAACTGAGATAGTGTTGATCATGAATAATAATAAAGAATTAATAGCCTATGCGTAATTGAGGTTTGCAGATTTTGAGCTGTAGGTTTCATTGGAACATGGCAATAAGCAACAACGCCAACCCCTGATGAATTGGATCCTCTCCACGACTACTGTGGTAGAGGACCACTTGGAAGGGCTAGTCAATTGTTGTCACTTGAGTTTGATTATTATTCTGCTTAGCCTTATCTTGTAGTGAATGTTGTGCTATACTTGCAATAGTTTATACTTCAACAAACTTTGATGGCAACATTTTTTTTGTAATTTACAATTTTTATTTCAATCATTTACTTGTGAGAGAAGCTAGGCCTAGTAGATTGGTTGAGACGGTGCATTTAACTTAGGCGAAAACACCCGTTTTTTGTTTTTGTTTTTTTGTTTTTGTTGTATAATGTGTATGTGAGTAGACTATAATAATATTCTTAGGTGAGAGCAGCCTTTTGGGTGTTTGATTGCGGGTCTATGAAAATGAACCCCAAAGCTTGATTCAACTCCAATCTTTGGTTGGTTAACCACAACATATTTATTTCTAAATGAATCATCATAACATATGTCCTTGAGTTCTTTTTCAGTTTCAAATAAAACGTGTTGGTTACGTTATTTTTAAAATAATCATAAAAATGTAAATCTATGTATGTTTATCACATTCAATATGAAAGTTGTTTTCAGTACATTTCTACTAAACTTTTTCTTCTATTGACACATTATTTGATGAATATAATTGATAGAGTCCGACTTTCTTCCAACCCTATTTAACTTTTGTCGGGTAATAGGAGCTGGGATTGGGACAACCCAGATGGCATAAAATGAGCAAAAGAAACCACACCAGTTTAGAACATGACAACCCCATCGAAAGTGGCCCAAAATTTTTGAGAAAAAAATGTAATTTTTTATTTTTTGCGAAATATTTCTATCATGTTAAGAAAAACTTTATAAAGCATTTGAAAATGATTTTACAGTTTATTAAGCCACAAATATATATTTAATAGAATATTTATGCCGAAAACTAAAAAATAAATGGACAAATATGGTATTGGGGTCCAAAACATTGTCGGAACGGAACTCCATCCACAAGAATATCAACAAAATTCTTACATGAACTTTCAAAACCTCATGGTATGGTGCAGGTGAAAAAATATAGATTTTATGAAGATTTTTGTAATTTTGCAAAACAACCTAATCAAAAATCGTGATGGTTAGCTCACATTTTTCAGAAAAATGTAATTTTTTATTTTTATTTTCGTGTAATATTTCATGTGGTCATTAAGAGATGCTTTGTAAGGCATTTAAAGAGGTTTTACCATTTATTGAACCACAAATGTATATTTAGTAGAATATTTTATTTAAAAATTGAAAAATAAATGGAAACAAATAGTAGTGGTTCCCAAAACATTAACGAAACTATACTCTATATTTAAGAATATCAACGAAAAGTTATACATGAATTTTCAAAACATCACAGTGCATGAAGGTGAAAACATATAGAGCTTATGACGATTTTTGAACAATTTTTTAAAACCGCTTGAAAACCATGATGGTTAGACTATTTTTTTGAGAAAAATTCTGTAACATCTCACATCGCACATGGGAGTTTAAATGTATATTCTCATCCCTACCTAGCACGAGGCCTTTTGGGAGCTCACTGGCTTCGGGTTCCGTAGGAACTCCGAAGTTAAGTGAGAAGGGGGCTAGATAGAGCAATCCCATGATGGGTGACCCACTAGGAAGTTGCTCGTGAGTTCCCGAAAACAAAACCGTGAGGGAATGGTAAGCCCAAAGCGGACAATATCGTGCTACGGTGGTAGAGCGGGCCCGGGAAGTGATCCGTCCTGGGCCGGGATGTGACAAATTCAATTTTTTATTCTTGCTAAATATTTTCCATCATGTTTAAGGAAAACTTTATAAAAAATTTGAAAGCGGATTTGCCATTTATTGAGTCACAAATATATATTTAGTAGAATATTTTATCTGAAAACTGAAAAAATAAATGGATAAAAATAGTAGTGAGGTCTAAAACATTGCGAAACGAAACTCCAACTACAAGAATATCAACACAAGGCCTTATACATGAACTTTCAAGATGGCATGGTGCAGTGAAGGCGAAAAAAATATAGTATTTATGACCATTTTTTAACACTTTGTAACCTACCAAGTCTCAGAATGGTAGGTGGTCAGTTACAAACTTACAAGAGTAGGGAGATATACAAATAACATGTATGCGAGGAGGAAAAACTAAGCAAGAAAATGGGAACTGAAATTATTGTAGAGAAAGACAATATTCCAAAATCCAGAGTATTGCTTCTCAGTTAGTGTAGACTCCACACTAGCCCAAGACTTACAACCAACAGTAAAGAGAAAGAATGGAACTCAACGAAGATGAATCAACTTTCACTAACAAGGAAAATAAGCTTACAAGTTACAACACTCTCACCAAGAGCATGAACAATGCAACCAACAAGAAAGATGAAAAACTAAACTAAAAAAGATAAGCAGCAGCTAGTTATCAATGCAATTAAAAGCTATTGTCTGGAAAGAAAACCAAAACATATAAGAGTGCCTCTGCACCATGAAAACATGCGGGTTCCCAAGACACCCATAATTAAGGAATTAATATAAGTTGTTGGGTATGTGGGAAGTCATTCTAGGAAAACCACTTTAATTTTAACAATTATTCCCACTCATATGGTTCTTGTGTGTTTTCCAGGACAGGGACACATAAACCCTATGCTCAGATTAGGCAAACGCCTAGCTGCAAAGGGGTTTTTGGTCAGCTTCTCCACCACTGAAAACTTTGGCAAAGAGATGAGAGCAGCCAACAGTGGCATCAGTGATGAACCCACACCTGTCGGCGATGGTTTTATCAGGTTCGAGTTTTTTGACGATGGTCTTACAGAACAGGACCCTAAACGCAGGGACTTAGACTACTATATGCCACAGCTTGAACTTGTGGGCAAGGATTTGGTAACCCGGATGATCAAACGGCATGCCAATGAAGGTCGTCCAGTTTCATGCCTTGTGAACAACCCATTCATTCCATGGGTTTGTTAATAATCATAATAGTCGGTTATGCAGTTGTGAGTTTGTTAAGTAGGATTGGGTTTGTTAGAAAGGATGAGTATATGAAAAGGGTAGTATTGTACTTTTGTTGTAGTCAGTTTCTCTACATAAACAAACCTTGTAAGGCAGTGCGGTTTCGGACCAAAACCGAGCCAAATTTGGATGTTCAGCTGCCCGGTATGCCACTTTTGAAGCACGATGAGATACCCAGCTTCTTGCACCCTTCCGACCGATTCCAGGTGAGTGTACACTATACACGGAAATCATCTCTTATACTTGTGTTCATGCAGATTGTCGGTCTATACCACAAATTCAGGTGCGAATCAACGTGATCCATGGTTCAAATTTCGCAATCTAGCATCGTAAGTACGGAAGTACCTTTTGGATGGACAAACAATCCAGGAAGCAATCATTTCCCACTTTATACTGCCACAACAATTTCTAAAACCTTAAAACATAACTACCATGTTTCATTCGTTCATTATATTTAGTCTAAAGCTAATTAGAAACTTGTGTTATCCTTTCTACTATGTTGGGAAAAGGTACCTTGTCTGAATTTCCACATAGTCCTAACTCCTAAGGGGAAAAAAAGTTGATACCTTATAATTAGCAAAATAATTTTCAGGTTTTGGGGAGGGCGATTTTAGGCCAGTTCAAGAAGTTGTCAAAATCAATGTATGTGTTGATAAACACGTTCCAAGAGCTCGAGCCTGAAGTCATCGGGCACATGTCCCAGTTCTGCATGGTGAAGCCCGTTGGCCCCTTATTCAAGAACCCAAAACCTCCCCAAACAACCATAAGTGGAGACCTAATGAAAGCTGATGATTGTCTTGAGTGGCTCGATTCCAAGCCTCCAACATCTGTCGTATATATCTCTTTTCGTAGTGTTGTGTACTTAAAGCAAGAGCAAGTTGATGAGATTGCTCACGGATTATGGGGTCTAATTTTTATGGGTTATGAAGCCACCCATCAAAGAGTATGGATTCGAAGAACACGTTTTACCTGATAAGTTCTTGGAAAAAGTTGGGCATAAAGGAAAATTGATTAAATGGAGTCCACAAGAGCAGGTTTTAGCTCACCCATCTATCGCATGTTTTGTAACTCACCGTGGCTGGAACTCTTCAGTTGAAGCACTCACTTCAGGCGTGCCAGTTGTGACATTTCCTCAGTGGGGTGACCAAGTCACCAATGCAAAGTTCTTAGTGGATGTGTTTGGTGTAGGGCTTAGATTGAGCCGTGAGGCGGCTGAGAATAGATTGAGCATGAGAGACGAGGTAGGGAAGTGTTTGTTGTAGGCAACAGTTGGACAGAAGGCAACAGAATTGAAGCAAAACGCATTGAAATGGAAGCTGGCAGCGGAAGTGGCGGTGGCTGAGGGCGGCTCCTCAGACCAGAATCTTCAAGATTTTCTGGATGAGATTAGTAAGACATATGCTGCTTAGAGTAATTTTCATTTTCCAAACTGCTTGCGTGAATTTCATGTCTCTGTCTTAGTACTGTAGTTTGGTATTGTTGTAACTTTTTATATAAATTAATTGTTTATGCTATGCTTTGAGAATAATTAATGAGTGACTTTGAATGCGGTTCTTATTTATCAACATTTTTTGATTGAAACCTTGTTAGTTTTCAATTTTTTTATTGCAAGTCCTGAAATTAATACAATATTGCATTTCTATGTAGGTTGTTATAATTTTAAATTAAAATTTGATTTATTTAGTTACTTATATTAATAAGATTTTCAATAAAATCCAATTCCATGGTTTCATTTCTCTTTCGCACCTGGGTTCACCACAGGATTTTTGGGAGCTTATGGCTCTTTCATGTTTAAGATCCGCAGATTTACGCAGTTCCAATTCCTAGACAACGTACAAAATCTCTACTTCAGTACTTCTTTAGGGCGAAGAAACAGAACATCCTGTGGTATAGCTCCTTCCTATCCATGGGAGATTTTTCAGAGTTTTTGTATATTTTCCAATAATCGTATTGTGATTTATTATCGTGACATGCATCGGAGAAAGTTGAGTTTCTATCATAAATTGACAATATTGGTTAAAAGTTTAATAACTCATAAGCACATGCAAAGTCCATTCTTTTATCGATATGAGATTCATACTCTCAGCCTCTTCCACATGTGGCGAATTATTAAGTTTAACACATGAATAACACAAATCAGGTGACGCGAAGTACATGTGGCTGTTGGGCTTCACACGAGAGACAATTTGTCCAAATGCTATGAAAAAAGTTGAGGTTTTACTATAAAACCAACTGGTAATATAAGTAGTCTAATTACTTATAAACACATGTAAGATCCCTTATTTTCTCGATGTGGAATTCATACTCTCAACATGCGTTCCAAAAGTGGAGAAGACCTCGATCAAGATTCAAGACTTTAATAAACCTTTGAACTCAACCTCGATCAAGATTCTAAGACTTTAATAAACCTTTGAATTCAATCTGCAGTGAGAAATATCAACATAGAAAAGAATCAATATGTGTTACTCTACAGTCCTGAAGATAATGCCTCAACATTCTTGCTGGGAAACTTTCTTCTAGTTAATTATTGTGGCTTGGCGTTTAAAGTCAAGAAAAAGACTTGCATATAATTGTGAAACCAATTAACATGGTAGGCCATCTAAGTACTGGTGCTACTGCATTTAACAGTAATTGCTTTTTGTTTACGTAAATGAATTCATTGAAAGATAAAAAGTGCACAATTACGAATGCTGAATGAAATAGTTGTTGATATGATTTTACAATTAATTCTAATCTGAATCAACTAATCCAGTTGAAATGGTTGTTGTCATCTGATAGTTAAATTTTCTAAGTTGTCTTCTTAATTTGAAATACCACTAGACCGTAATATTAAGTGACAATTCACCTCCCATTTTGAAAACTCAAAAAAATTTGCTGTCAATTTTCATTTTTTGGAAACTAAAAACAGTTACCAAATATATATTAAATTTCATTTTTTAATAAAAATGAAAACTGAAAATGAAAACGAAATTATTATCAAGTGGCTCCTATTTACGTTATGCACCAATTTCCTCAATTTAATTGCATCTAAAAACCTGTCCAGTGATTACAAGTATTGTGGGATTCATTGTCAAAGTATGTAAAACCTTCTTTTTTACCAAAAAAAAAACTATGTAAACCTTCTAATGTGAACTATGTTCACTCACTACTACTGATTTTTCAGTCTATATATTGTTTACATGAAAGCAAAGACTTCAAATTTCAAATATTGTGGACAAATATCTAAAACCACCTACCTTTTTAAACCTACTTTTTGAGTGAAAACTACAGTGATATGAAGGGATGTGTGAATTAATATGAATTAAAAAACAAGGCTCACTATCTCTTAGTGCAAGATTTGTAAACCCTAGTCGAAGCATGTCTCGCCGGTGTGGTTTTTATGCTACGCATTATTCAATAGTATGAGAGTTTTAATTGTTATATTTGATTTGTGCAACTATTTACATTTTTATTTTCAACCTCATCCAACCATGTCTCACATCAAAAACCTAGAAAACCTCTGTTCATTTGTAGTGGCTCACTAGATTGTCTCTTCCTTAATTGGGACAATAAAATTGTTAAAACACTAAAGTTTCAAGTTAACCCAACTATATATTGGTTTGCATATGTGGTCAATGTCAATGTTCGACTAGTAATGAGTTGATAAACCGTCTTTAAAACCTTAGTTGAAGCATGCCCCACATCAAAAAATTAAAAACATTGGTTGGGGCACTAGATTATCTTTACCCGAGTTGGAACAATGAACTTAAAATGTTGAAGTTGCAGGTTGGCCCAACTATTGGTTTGTACATACGATCAGTATTTTGTTTGATTAGTAGTAAGTTGATGAACTGTCTCTCAAAACTTTGATAACTTTGATGCCCTGTCTCTAAAGTCATCAAAGTCGGAAAGGAATAATCCAAAAACCTTGTATGGACCCTCTTGTGCAACTGATGCTTTGAAGTCTATCTTCATTTTCTACACTTATTTCTCTTCTACATATGTAATGGATCTTAGCGTCGACAACTTCTTTGGCATCATTCCAGACGAGATTCCAGCCTCACCAACTTGGACAGACCATTCTTCTTTTCTTTTAAGGCTCACTCTCTCTGTTTGTTTCTGCATAAATCAGCAAGTTGTCGATTTAAATTTCCACATTTTTGTTTTAGGGGAAGAGAATAGCGTGATTCGAGTTTTTTTTCGATGAGTGTAGGTAAAGTACCCTACCACTAGAGTTGTCCCACAATTGTTTATTTTTGTTTTTTATTTAGGCTCGCTTTCTGTTTGTTTCTCCATAAATCAGCAAGTTGTCGATTTAAATTTCCACATTTTTCAGTCTATATATTGTGTACATGAAAACAAAGACTTCAAATTTCAAATATTGTGGACAAATATCTAAAACCACCTACCTTTTTAAACCTACTTTTTGAGTGAAAACTACAGTGATACGAAGGGACGTGTGAATTACGATGAATTAAAAAACAAGGCTCACTATCTCTTAGTGCAAGATTTGAAAACCCTAGTTGAAGCATGTCTCGCCGGTGTGGCTTTTATGCTACACATTATTCAATAGTATGAGAGTTTTAATTGTTATATTTGATTTTTGCAACTATTTACATTTTTATTTTCAACCTCATCCAACCATTTCTCACATCAAAAACCTGGAAAACGTTGGTTCATTAGTAGCTGTTCACTAGATTGTCTCTTCCTTAATTGGGACAATAAAATTGTTAAAAAGCTAAAATTTCAAGTTAACCCAACTATATATTGGTTTGCACATGTGGTCAATGTCAATGTTCAATTAGTAGTGAGCTGATAAACTGTCCAGTTGAAGCATGCCCCACATCAAAAAATAAAAACATCAGTTGGGGCACTAGATTATCTTTACCTGAATTGGAACAATGAACTTACAATGTTTAAGTTGCGGGTTGGCCCAACTATTGGTTTGTACATTAGATCAGTATTTTGTTCGATTAGTAGTAAGCCGATGAACCGTCTCTCATAACTTTGATAACTTTGATGCCCTGTCTCTAAAGTCATCAAAGTCGGAAAGGAATAATCCAAAAACCGTGTATGGACCCTCTTGTGCAACTGATGCTTTGAAGTCTATATACATTTTCTACACTTATTTCTCTTCTACATATGTAATGGATCTTAGCGTCGACAACTTCTTTGGCATCATTCCAGACCACATTCCAGCCTCACCAACTTGGAGAGACGATTCAGACCTCTCAGGAAATCATCTATCCGATAGAATTCTAGCGTCACTATCGGAGTCTTCGTCCAAGGCCTCAATGCACTATCGTTGAGGGCGACCCGATACATCTAGGGTCCCGCTTTCGAATTAGTGAAAGTAATAATACAAATAAGTACATGGAAGATGTATGTGAAAATTGTAAGTATTGAAACTGAATCTTACATTAAGTAAGTTAGGTTATTCCTCATATCAATTAGTTGTAAGATTCAACCTCAACTTTTTTCAATAAATTTACTAGTCTTTGCACCTAGAAGTCTCCGTAATTTACAGTTTTTTCACATCACAAAACGACCACTTCACTAGCGAATCAGGAAAAAATAAAAAATCCGAAGACCATTTTGAGGAGCATTTTCGTCCGCACACTGCCCGTGAACAGTGCACCTAAGTTTGGGTTTTAGTATAGGTATAATATATTGAAAAAGTTGATTCTATCATAAAATCAATTAGTAATATGAGAAGTAACTCAATAACTTATAAGCACAAGTAAAGTTTATTCTCCCATTAATTTCGAATTCCCATGTTCAATTGGGGGCCCTATGCAATGGCTCCTATTGCTCCCCTCACAGCCGGGAACGCAAAATTGCAAGGAGAGAGATTTGAACTCGGTGCATGAAAGGGAACACATCCAGTCTATGGAGCTACATCCACGTCCGTCGAGATTCAATAATAAAGTCACTGGAAATTGATGTTTCCTGTCGTTTTTAATCAATTTCCTTCATTTACATCTAACCAACTGTGATATGTACAGTAGTTCTAATGAGATTCCTACCAACCCCTGATGGAGGGTTCAAAAGTTCTACTCCAGTCTTGTCTGGACTCTGGACAACTTCTCATTATTTAAAGTCTATAATTTAAAAGCAACGACTTCAAATATGCTGACAATAGTTGAAACCTTCACCTTCCTCCTCCTCCTTATGTGTATATATACGACCTAAACGCGTGAGCAATAATATAATCCGGAATAGAAATAGCCAATAAAAACCATGCCGGTACCTAGACATATAACGCCTTGCGGAGTCCTCTTCAAGTTTTTTGTGATCTCAACCCTCATTTCTACAAACCATGCATGCAACAAAGCAGATCGAGAATCTCTTTCATCATCTTTCGATGCCCCTTCTTTAAATTGGTCTTCTAGTAGTGATTGTTGTCACTGGGAAGGCATCACTTGTGATGAGGATGGTAGGGTAACACATTTGTTGTTGCCCTCCAAACGGCTCCAAGGAGGGGTTTCTCGCTCTCTTGGAAACCTCATGCATCTTTCGCACCTCAATCTCTCCCACAATTTGCTTTCAGGCTCTTTTGAAGCCGGAATGTTCTTGTCCTTGAGTTGCCTTGAGATCCTTGATTTGAGCTATAACCTTTTCTTCGGAGAAGTACCATTATCTTTATCATCAAGTTACATCCGAACAGTTGATTTTTCTAGCAATCAATTCAACGGAACAATTCCATCTTCATTCCTCCAGCATGCCTGGAATTTGAGCAGTTTGAATGTCAGCAATAATCATTTTACAGGCCAAATACCATCCTCTATCTGTCTTCGTTCCTCTTCACTTAGAGTCTTGGATTTCTCCCACAATAGTTTCAATGGCTCAATTCCTCTCGGACTAGGAAACTGTTCAGAATTGGAGGTCTTTCGTGCTGGTGAAAATACTTTGTCAGGGTCTCTTCCTAGTGATATCTACAACGCTCAGGCACTTCAAGAAATTTCATTACATTCCAATAGGCTTTTCGGTCCCATCAGTGAAAATATTGGGAAGCTCTCCAGTTTAAAGCTCATGCTCCTTCATTTCAACAATCTCGAAGGTCCTTTGCCCCCACCTTTGATGAATTGCACAAACCTTGTTGAAATAAATCTGGGATACAACCGCTTTAGTGGGAATATCTCCGTGCTTGATTTCTCTGAACTTACTCAACTTAGTAAACTAGATTTTGTAGCTAATCTGTTCACTGGTATCTTGCCAATAAGCCTTTACACATGCAAATCCCTCAAAGCACTTCGACTGGCTGAAAACAATCTTGAGGGACAAATACAACCTGAGATTCTTTCGTTGAAATCGTTGTCCTTCCTCTCGCTTTCTGAAAACAGATTGACTAATGCCACCGGTGCAATGAAGATATTGATGGGTTGCAAAAGTCTCAGGGTACTCCTTCTTTCAGAAAATTTTCTCGGTGAAGAAATGCCAGATGTTGATATTATGGTTGATTCTTCTGGGTTCCAAAATCTATCCATTTTGAGCTTCTATAGGTGCCAGTTGACAGGTCAAGTACCTTTATGGTTGTTGAAGCTCAAGAAACTCGAAGTCTTGGATCTGTCTTTTAACAGACTCACGGGCCCAATACCTGGATGGTTGGGGACTCTACCAAGTCTTTTCCTTTTAATACTGAATCATAACTTGATTTCAGGAGAATTTCCGAAGGAGCTTTGCAGACTACAAGCATTGGTATCACAAAATGCTGCAACTCAAACAGGCTATGATTATCTCGAGCTTCCCATCTACTACCAACGGGTTAATGCGTCTGTAACTCCCTTGCAGTACAAGTATCTGTCCAACATGCCAAGAGCAATCTCCCTCAGGAATAACAGTTTAAGTGGTAATATACCGTTTGAGATTGGTCAATTGCAACTTCTTCAAGAACTAGATCTTAGCATCAACAACTTGTCTGGAGAAATTCCAAACCAAATATCGAACCTCACAAGTTTGGAAAGATTCGACCTCTCAAGAAATCATCTGTCAGGAGAAATCCCAGCATCAATATCAAGTCTCCACTTCTTGTCTTCATTTACAGTTGCTTACAACAACCTTCAAGGAATAATACCATCCGGCACTCAAATCGAAGGCTTGAATGCCACTGCATTCGAGGGGAACCAAGGACTTTGTGGTGCCCCACTTCCAAACAAATGCCAGCAGATGAATACAAGTAATGACACTACAGATGTGCACACTAGTAATGAAAAAGAAATTCCGTGGTTTCATTTTTCCGTGATTTTTGGTTTTATTTTCGGATTTTGGGGAGTCTGTGGCTCTTTAGTGTTTATTAGGTCTTGGAGACATGCATATTTCCTATTTCTGAGCAATGTTAAAGATATGTTCCTAGCGATGGCAAATTAAGAAATACGATTATTGTTTGTTAATAGTTTTGCCTATATATAATAATTTGATGGCATAAAGCCCCTTTCACTTTCACTGCTAGAAATTACTATTTCCCGATAAAAGGAATTTTGTAAATAAACTTTAATTGTTGGAATTCATATATTCGGTTGCCAAAAACAGTAACGTTTGGTTCTTTAGAGGCTTTTGCTTGACGAACAGATTTCGACGGGCAAAGACTAAGAGATTTTATAGGTGAAGAAATGCCAGATGGGGATAAACTGTCGATTCCGGATTACAAAATCTCTGTGTTTTCAGTTTATTGAGGTGTGATATGACAGGGCACATACCTGCATGGATTTCAAAGCTCGGGAAACTGGAAGTCCTGGATTTGTCTTTTAACAGACCCACTGGCACAATACCTGGTTGGTTGGGGACTCTTCCGCATCTTTTCTTTTTGTTGTTGAATGACAACGTGATTTCGGGTGAATTTCCAAAGGAGCTTTGCAGACTACAAGCATTAGTGTCGCAAAAGGCTGCGAATGAAACAGGCCATTGTTCTCTTGAGTTGCCGGCCTACTTTCAACGCGGTAATAATGCAACTATGCTGTCTTCACAGTACAAGTATCTGTCTAACATGCCAAGAGTAATCTCCCTCAGGAACAACAGTTTAAGCGGCAGCATACCCTTTGAGATTGGCCAATTGCAATTTCTTCAACAACTGGATCTAAGCATCAACAACCTCTCCGGCAACATTCCAGACCAAATAGCCAACCTCCCAAAGTTGGAGAGATTAGAACTCAACAGTAACCATCTGTCAGGCGAAATCCCATCATCACTATCAAATCTCCATTTCTTGTCTACATTTACTGTTGCATACAATAATCTTGAAGGACCAATACCAGCCGGCACTCAGCTCCAAGGCTTCAGTGTCTCTGCATTCGAAGGGAATCCGAAACTTTGCGGTTCCCCACTTTCAAACCAGTGCTTGCCAAGTAATGGCAATGATGCAGATGAGAATGAGAACAACCAGGATTTGGACGATGATGAGGATCAAAGTCTATGGTTTGGGTTATCCGTTGTGCTTGGTTTCTTTGTAGGGTTATTGGGATTCTTTCGCTACGATGTGAGCAATATAATTCCAGTGCAGACATAGCGAAAAACATCATGCCGGAAGCTAGCCGCGTAATACCTTATGGGGTCCTAATCCTGTTTTTTTTGTTGTCTACTTTCATTTCTACAAACCATGGTTGCAAGGAGGCAGATCACAGCTCTCCTTTGTCATCTTTTGATATGTCTTCTTCTCGTTTAAATTGGTCTTCCAGTGATTGTTGTCACTGGGAAGGCATCGCTTGTGATGCCGATGGTGGGGTAACACATGTTTCGTTGCCCTCTAAGCGGCTCCAAGGAAGCATTTCTTGCTCCCTTGGAAGCCTCACGCATCTTTCGCACGTCAATCTCTCCCACAATCTGCTTTCCGGTACTCTGGAAGCTGGACTCTTCTTGTCCTTCAGTCGCCTCGAAATCCTTGATTTGAGCGATAACCTTCTCTCCGGAGAATTACCCTTGTTTCTGTCATCTAATTACATTCAAATAGTAGATTTGTCGAACAATCAATTCAATGTTACAATTCCTTCTTCATTACTCCAGCATGCCTGGAATTTGAGCTGTTTGAATGTCAGCAATAATCATTTTACAGGCCAAATACCTTCTTCTATCTGTCTTCGTTCCTTCTCGCTTAGAGTCTTGGATTTCTCCCACAATAATTTCAGTGGCCCAATTCCTCCCGGACTAGGAAACTGTTCCAAGTTGGAGGTCTTTCGTGCTGGCGACAATAGTCTCTCAGGATCCCTTCCTGCTGATATCTACAATGCTCAGGCACTTCAAGAAATTTCATTATCTACCAATGGGCTTGTCGGACCCATCAGCAAGAATGTTGGGAAGCTCTCCATATTAAAGCTCATGCGCCTTCAATACAGCAATCTCGAAGGTCATCTGCCCCCATCTTTGATGAATTGCACAAACCTTTTTGAAATAAATCTGGGATTCAACCGTTTTAGTGGGAATACCTCTGCGCTCAATTTCTCTAAACTTACTCAACTTAGTAAACTAGATTGTATAATTAATAATCTCACTGGTACCTGGCCAATAAGCCTCTACTCATGCAAGTCCCTCAAAGCACTTCGACTAGCTGCAAATGATTTCGAGGGCCAAATCCAACCTGAGATTCTTCAATTGAAAAACTTGACCTTCCTCTCGCTTGGTAAGAGCAGACTCACCAATGTCACGGGGGCAATGAAAATACTGACGGGTTTCAAAAGTCTCAAGGTGCTCCTGTTAACTTATATAGCCAAGAACAAGATTAAGTCGCTTAAATCACAAACAAGAAAGCATGAAAACTCTTACATAAATATGTAAAGAACTCTGCAATACCACTAAGCTGATGAACTGCCATTTGAAGATGCCATAGCTGCTGCCATTCAATCTCAGTGCGTTGCAATCCTTCTCCTCCCTGTCAGATCAATTGAAGCTCTAACCAAGAATAGGACTTAGTTCTTAATTGAGCGCATATCTGTGAGAGCATAGGTCACAATATATATATATATATATAGACATATATCTCTCCTAATCCAATAAGGATTCCCTATTAAAATCCCTGCAGGAAACAACACATGTCTCCTAATCCACATCAGTTCACCACTATGATAGACTCCTCTATCAACAAGAACTCTCATTCATCTTCCTATAAGGCTTTCTTATACTAATTGGTCCAAATAGCTAATGCCAGTTCCAGGGTGAAGCAATGCCAGATGGGGATATAACTGTCGATTCTGGGTTACAAAATCTGCATGTTTTCAGTTTACTTAGCTGTCATATGACAGGGCACATACCTGCATGGATTTCAAAGCTCAGGAAACTGGAAGTCCTGGATTTGTCTTTTAACAGACTCACTGGCACAATACCTGGTTGGTTGGGGACTCTTCTGCATCTTTTCTTTTTGTTGTTGAATGACAACTTGATTTCGGGTGAATTTCCAAAGGAACTTTGCAGACTACAAGCATTAGTATCGAAAAAGGCTGCGAATGAAATAGGCCATTGTTCTCTTGAGTTGCCCGTCTACTTTCAACGCGGTAATAATGCAACTGTGCTGTCTTCACAGTACAAGTATCTGCCCAACATGCCAAGAGTAATCTCCCTCAGGTACAACAGTTTAAGCGGCAGCATACCCTTTGAGATTGGCCAATTGCAATTTCTTCAACAACTGGATCTAAGCATCAACAACTTCTCCGGCAACATTCCAAACCAAATAGCCAACCTCACAAAATTGGAGAGATTAGAACTCAACAGTAACCGCCTGTCAGGCGAAATCCCATCATCACTATCAAATCTCCATTTCTTGTCTACATTTACTGTTGCATACAATAATCTTGAAGGACCAATACCAACCGGCACTCAGCTCCAAGGCTTCAGTGTCTCTGCATTCGAAGGGAATCCGAAACTTTGCAGTGCCCCAAAAGAAAACGGTTCAGGAATTTCGTCAAACAGATCATGTGCAATCTCTTTTCAGAAAGTTTAAAATTGCAGTAATCTTGTGAGCATAAGAGAGCAGATTAAGGAAGAGACATGTAAATGCAGCTTCATCGTCTACAAACACATGCATGCAACGTAACTGATATGATCTGTAATTAGTGATTAGCTTAATCACTATTAAGGGTTTTATTCTTGGGATTATTAGGCTTATTCTGATATTTAATGAAGTCTGTTAGAAATGTCAGCTGACACTAAAGGTGTAAAGAGCTGAGCTCCTCAATTGTATCACATCAGAACTTACACAAAAGAAATATAAACAAAAACAATTCAAGAGCTCTGCCCTCTCTATCCTCTATGCTAGGATTGGATTAAGCTGGATCATCTTGACAGAACAGGAATATGATGCGCTTTATGCATCTGGAGATGGGACTAAAGTTGTTTTCCATTTTTTTTTTTTTTAAATGGAGACTAGTTCGGGACTCATTTCAGATCAAACTTCAACTATTCGAATAATCTATTTTTCAAGTTGCGTTTCATCATCCATAAAAAAATATTATGCAGGACGGAAATGTTTGAGACATGTAATTGAGTTCAAAAAAAATTATTGAATACTACGTTCTAAGAAATATTGAAATTTCATCACGACAATCAAATGGGTAAATAGTTTCAAATTAAATTGTTCTTTTTGCAAAAATAACTTATAAATGAAGACTAGATAAATAAACAGTTTGGACCGTTGGTTTGAATAAAGCATCTTACCCAACTAAAAAGAAAACAAAATTCTCCATTGGTTTCCCTTGCTCATGACTTAATTAAACCATTGAGAATCAACCTAGATAAGTGGCCATGTGTCCATCTGCAAAATTGTAGCATTCTTTGTGTTAATTGTTATATCATTGAAATTTCGAAGTCAAAGGACAAAAAGAAAAAAGAAAAAAAGAAAAAAGAAAAAGAGAAATGTTAAGGAATTATTTCTGTCACTTCATAGTTTAACGTTAATCTTTGTGCCATCATTATAAAACATTGTGCAAAAAACATGAAGTGACATATAGTCAATGAAGATTTCTACTTTTGAGAAAGTCTCTTAGCATTTCTCAAAAAAAATATACATAGCAGTGTTATAAGACATGCAAGGTAGGTCTACGATATTCTATATTAAATAATTATTGCGCGTAACTGTGCGTTTTTTTTATTTTTAATTTTATATACAAATGACATTTAGAGATGAAAAATCAAGCACATAACCTTGACTTATAAGTCCCTTTCACGTAACACTTTTACTTTGTTTAACCATATAATTACTCATTTGTTAGTTCATAACGCTTTCTACTCGAAGCATTTTTATCAAACAACCGTTTTTTACAACAAAAGTGTCTTCAACGTTTCCAAAAGCACGAACCCAGAGTCAATGTAAACCCTCTAATACGTTCTTATACTTCTTATTTTTAACTATATAATTATTCATCTGTTAGTTCATAACACTTTCTCCTTGAAGCACTTTTATCAAACAACCATTTTTTACGGCAAATTAAAGTGTTTTTAGCTTTTTGTTGCGAAAATTAGACAACCAAAATTAACTTCATTATATCTCGAATTTTAGTTCTTGCAAATGTACGAATCATATGATAGTATAGCGTATAAGCACGGATATCGTTCCACAAAGATCGAATTGATTTTAAAATTCTTACTAACTAAATTGAAACTAATATAATGGAGAAGCTTTAACGGAAAAGATATGATATTTGAATTAAACTGAAATAAAACAAAGCTTGAAAATAAAATGCATAGAAATAATAGATTGAAAACATAAGAAAAATAAGACCTAGGGCATCCAAATTCACCATAACCAATTCTACCTAATTCCCTCAATATGTTATGCTCAAGTAGTTTCCCAATAATGATGATCAATTTTCTCTAAATTATCCAACAGTTAGGCATCTGGTTGCATTAAAAGTATCTTAACATGTTAACCCTCTATGACATCTAGATGAATTTAAACAAGTAAGAACTCATTAAGCTCTATGGAAAGTGGTATCACATAAACCCTAATTGCATGACATATCTGTGTTTATGGTATCAATTGCAAGAAGCTAAACTCAAGTTAAGTATGACATCTACTCTAACTTGCTTTAAAATTGAGAGACCATTGCTTGAGTTGGGTTAAAGTTGAGGGATCATTGCTAGAATTTTTCTCATTTGGTTTACCATATTTGCCCCTCGATTCGGCCTCATGTGTGTGACACGTGACTCATTTTGACAGGAGTTCTAACGGAATTGAAGAAAATGATTATAGTAGCACGTTTTAAGGAGTTAAGAGATCAATGGACATGGATTTTTAGTTCATGACCGTTACTCCAATTGGATTAAGGTTGAGGGAAATTTGCTACAGTTTCCTCAAATAAAAAACAAGCGCAAGCGCATTACGAATAATAAAAGATATTCAATATGAAATAAAAACTTGATAAAACAATACCACAAAGCAATTAAACATTCATGATCAAACTACATCGAAGCCCTAAAAAAGATATAAAAAAAAATCTAGCTTTCTTCCTCCTTGCCGCAACCTTCTGCAATATGATAATTTTGATTTGGTTGAACCCCTTATCACAAAGAATAACCCTTCTTATAACCCATGGCAATAAAAATAAATCCTACAAAATTCTAATGAAAAACCCACTAAAATTCTAACAAATGGACTTTAAGTCTTTGTTAAATAAAAAGAAAATAAACGGAAATACTAAGAACAAATAATCATGTCTCTTCTTAAATCTATTGAATAGCATTTCCATGTATATTCAAAACCTTTGTAGTCTCATCTTCGTATTATAATACATATGTCTTGGAATAGTTAATTAGCCTCGTGCTCAACTAGAATTACTTTAGACACCCGAAATCACCATCTTCCATTTCTTTTTCGCATGGATTTGGATCCCATCCGGTTCCAAATGGTGGGGATCCTACGGATCCTCACATCTTAGTTATTCATCGTGTTTATTAGGTCTTGAAGACATGTGTATTTCCTATTTCGGAGCAATGTTAAAGATAAGTTCCTAGCGATAGCAAATTAAGAAATACGATTATTGTTTGTTAATAGTTTTGCCTATAATAATTTGATGGCATAAAGCCCCTTTCACTTTTACAGCTAGAAATTACTATTTCCCGATAAAAGGAATTTTGTAAATAAACCTTAATCATTGGAATTCATATATTCGGTTGCCAAAAACAGTAACGTTTTGGTTCTTTAGAGGCTTTTGCCTGATGAACAACGTTTGACAGGCAAAGTTCCATCTATCGGGTAAAGTTTTCGCACCAAGGAAAAAACTTGGTGTGTAAATATAACAACCATTGTGCAACGAATAATACAAGTTTTGTTGAATTGTTTGTCGTGCAAGGGTATGTATGTTTTATAATTTAGGGTTTATGGTTCGTCGGGCAAAATCAAAATGTTTGTCGGACAAGGGTCAACTTCCTTTCCTTGACGAAATTATTTCGTCATGTAAATACAATTTGCTCGACGACTTTGTACTATTCATCGGTAAACTCTGCAGTGATGATATGTTTGTGCGACGAACATTGCTCGACAGAATTGTGCGTAATATAATTTCATCTTTCTAATGCTTCTTTGTTCGTAGCTTTACTTCTAGTAAAATTAACAAAAACGATGAAAATACAAAATCTCAATTGTCAAAATGATCACTTTTCGGAATTTTTTTCAATATATCGTAAATATTTGATTCATAATGTCGTCATATCTGATTGATATATGTCGTCATTGTTTGATTTTGATTATCTCAGCAATTAGAATTTGTAAAATCCTCTTTCAGTCAATTTTAGAGATGAAGCCAGAGATTTGCATGGATGGGGACATTGTTAAACAACAAAGTCACAAAATAAAAAGCTAAAGAAATTTCCTAAATAAAATACTTATATATTAGTCCATAAGATTTTTCATACAATATATTACAATATTCCTCGATGTGTTTTCATGTTTTGATAGCGTTGCATAACAATTTTATTACCAATACCATCACATATATCTCTATATAAAAATACCCATGTTATAATTCATTCATTGATCTCCCATCCAATTTATAAAAAAAAATTATGACCGAAAATACTCTTTCAACATTGGTAGTTGCAGCTGGAAATTTTAATGCTAATGTCACAAGCAAGTACATTTTTTGTGTGCCAAAAAAAAAACAGTGGGGGCATCTGCCTCCTCTGGTCCCAAGGTGACTCCGTCCATGGTCAATTTCCTAGTTGGTTGGGGACCCTTCTTGACCGAATTTCAGGAGGATTTCCAAAGAAACTTTGCAGGCTGGTATCTGAAATCACTTAAGCTCAACAGACCACATGTCTTGAACTCCCCATGATCATCATTGTTAATTCAAATTTTTTACATCAAAACTATATTGCGAAGAACTTGCCGAAGCGCTATTCTTTCAGAACCATAGATTTACCGGCAAAATATTTATTGACACAGTACTGGCCCACTGCAGCTTCTCCACGCGTTGCATTAATTTAATATCTGGCCTCAAAACTTGGAGACAGTACTGGACCTCTCCATAAATCATCTGTCCGGAGAAACCCCAGCGTGATTGGCGGTTGTTAATCTCTTGTCATTTTTAATGTATCATACAGTACTTTGCGGTTCAATTCGCCCGCCTCCGAGGTGAATTTGAAACTTTGCGGTGCACCGGTGATGGCATTGGTGCAGATATAAGAACAGCCAAGATTTGGACAATGGGAATCCAATTCCATGGTTTCATTTCTCTTTCGCACCTGGGCTCACCACAGGATTTTTCGGAGCTTATGGCTCTTTCATGTTTAAGATCCGCAGATTTACGCAGTTCCAATTCCTAGGCAATGTACAAAATCTCTAATTCAGTACTTCTTTAGGGCGAAGAAACTCAACAACCTGTGGTATAACTCCTTCCTATCCATGGGAGATTTTTCAGAGTTTTTGTATCTTTTCCAATAATCTTATTGTGATTTATTAACATGACATGCATCGGAGAAAGTTGAGATTTTTTTGTAAATTGGCAATATTTGTAGTAGTTTAAATACTTATAAGCACATGTAAAGTCAGCCTCTTCCATATGTGGCGAATTATCAAGTCTAACACTTGAATAACACAAATCAGGTGGCGCAGAGTACATGTAGCTGTTGGGCTTCACACGAGAGACAACTTGTCTGAATGCTATGAAAAAAGTTGAGGTTTCACTATAAAACCAACTGGTAATATAATGAGTAGTCTAATAACTGATACACACATACAATATCCCTTCTTTTCTCGATGTGGGATTCATACTCTCAACATGCATTCCAAAAATGCAGAAGACCTCGATCAAGATTCAAGATT